AAAAAACGCTTCGATGCAAATCTGTATATAGTGTTTATTTAAAAAAAAAAATTTGTTAAAATAGCATATTTTTGAATATGGTAGCCATTTGCGCATAGAATATAGGTCGTCGAGACAAATTTTTTTTTTCATTTTATAGTACATAAAATAAGCTTTAATTTGATATATGTTTAATATATATATGTTTTTTACAATATTTCAAGTTTTGAACGCCCCCTATATAAGGGTAAAATTGTCCAATTTTAATAAAAAGTATGTCAAATTTGTAATTTTTTTGGATATTTCCCCCATTTGCGGGGAACGAGAGAAATTTTTTCAATTTTTAAGGGTAATGTCTTCAACTAGATACGATTTGTGATCTTTTGACGTATTTTTGAAAGAAATCGGTCCAGTGAGAGCTGAGAAAAAGTGGCAACAGACATAAAAAAAAAAAAAAAGCTTTGATGGAAATCTATAGATAGTATTTAATTCTAATAAATTAGTGGATAATTGAAAAAACACATCTTAGTAAAATAATACCTTCTCTGCTTCGCATCGAAGCTAAAAATTACTAACAACTTACAAGGGGAGGTCACGGTGATGGGGTCACCGATTTTGATAAAATTTATATAGATCTAATCTATATTGAATACAGAATCAGACGTATTTGGAATTTTTTGCCAATGCCCCCCCTAAGTCGAAAAAATTGACTTTTAAAATGTTTAACTAGCTTAAATAGGGTCATTTTTCTTCCGAACAACAATTCTTGTTATGGTCCAGTAGACAGTACGTGATCCTCTAATACGTACAGGCTCGCTCGGGATCGAGTCTTACCACCTAATGAAATTTTTTGCTTTTTTTTTCACTGTTTTCTCTTTGAATTATTAATTTTATGTAATATTTGAAAATTTTTTTATAATAATAAATAAAATATATTTTTTATATTAACCTGGTAAGAGTATATAAATTATAAAGGAGAGAGATATTTGAAAGGTTTAACGTTCAGTGCAAGGTTTTCGTGGAGTTCAAATTTTATGAAGGAGTAAAGTTAATCATTTTTTTTTTTCATTGAATAAAATTTATTCATTTGAATTGAATTATATTTATTGATTAATATTTACGTGTATTTAAAACTCTTAAATTATTATTTTTAATAATCAAAATTAATAATCATAAAAAAAAAATTATAAATTATTATTTATTCAATTGACTATGACTTTTTGTCATATAACAAACATACATTTTTTTAATAATTAAAATAAAATATATTTTTACTATTAACCAGGTAAGAGTATATTTATAAAGAGATGATAATGAGGAATTAAATATATATAAAATCATTATATATTTTAATTTAATCTATTGTAATTTTCAAAAAAATTCATAAAATATGAACTCCACGCAAAACCTTGCACTGAACGTTAAACCTTTCAAAAATCTCTCTCCTTTATAATTTATATACTCTTACCAAGTTAATATAAAAAATATATTTTATTTATTATTATAAAAAAATGTTCAAATATTACATAAAAATTAATAATTCAAAGAGAAAACAGTAAAAAAAAAAGCAAAATATTCCATATGGTGAGGAAGACTCGATCCCGAGCCTGTACGTATTTGAGGATCACGTACTGTCGACTGGACCATAACACGAATTGTTGTTCGGAAGAAAAATGACCCTATTTAAGCTAGTTAAACATTTTAAAAGTCAATTTTCTCTACTTAGGGGGGGCATTGGCAAAAAATTCCAAATACGTCTGATTCTGTATTCAATATAGATTAGACCTATATAAATTTTATGAAAATCGGTGAACCCATCACCGTGACCTCCCCTTGTTAGTTAATACAATTTTTTTTTTCGATTAATCGTTCGTCTGTTACAGCTTGTTAAAGCTAAGTGATTTTAGGCCAAGTTTATATTGTTATTTTACTACAGGGTGTTCAGTAAGTCAGGAAACGGGTTTCTATTGTTCTCATTGTTTGTAACAATGTGACTTCTGTATATTAAATACAGAAGTCATTATTTTTGTTTGCTGTTGCATAAACTAAATTTTATTGATCAAGTTATGAGAAGTAAATTAGTTATAATAATCTACGACGCACTGTACTGCCGTACTAAACAAAAACAGGATAACTCCAAAATTAAAAAACATTTTTTTTTTGTTTCTATAGGTAAATTTAGTTGTTTTACACCGATTTTTGATGTAAAAATAGCATATTTCCTATTAAAACCAATCTAAAACTGAAATATAAAATAAGAAAATATACGGCAAGTACAATATATTTGATGTTTTGTACTTGGTATATCACATAAAAAATAATGAAGTTACCGTCTTTTGACTTATGTTCATACATTGGGAAAAAAGGGTATCTTGATTTACTGTTAAAAATGTTTTTTTGTGTTCCTGAAAAATCATGTTGACTGGAGTTATCCTGTTTTCGCTTAGCACGGCAGTATATGAGTGATAACAATAATAGATTCAAATCGGGATTTCGGTGTGTTATTAATAGCAAAGTCTATGGGTGTGTAAGACTTACAAATAAAAATAATGACTTCTGTATTTAATACAGTAAAATAACAATAGAAAATTAGACTAAAATCACTTAACTTTAACAAGCTGTAACAGACGAACGATTAATCGAAAAAAAAATTGTATTAACTAAGTTGTTAGTAATTTTTAACACGCTTATATTAGTTTCACCTGTATGTATGTATGTATGTATGTATGTTTGTAACTCTTCAAACGCCACGCGTTACCGCATATTCCGTCGTCTAGACTAGACTGTCATAACGCATTCACCCCACACCACGCCTCTCTTATCACACGACGACAACACTATTCCTATAAAAATTTATTTTTAGTTATCGTACCCGTACACGCGTGCTTGTCATCAATATTATATATATATAAACAAATTTTTATTTTGACTGACCAATACCGCCCGCGTCTAATGCGCCTTACGTATATATATTTATATATTCCTACCACCGTTTATACCTCAGGTATAACGTTAGTCCGACCCGCCCGCCCACAAAATACGGTTATACCTAGTGCATGATACGTTTACGTACTTAAGTCGCTTTACTTGTATATATATATATATTCTAATTACTATTAAAATTTATATATTAACACGATTTATTCTAATTAAGAGATATAAAGTATTCATTCCGATTACGAGGGATGATTCCCGTATCGTCATTTTTCGTCACTACCTCCACGTTCCGGGAGTGAGTAATTTACGCGCCTGCTGCTTTCCTTGGATGTGGTAGCCGTTTCTCAGACTCCCTTTCCGGGAATCGAACCCTCATTTCTCGTTACCCGTTACAACCATAACTACTATCATAACTTGAAACTAAAAAGTAAAAAATAAATATAGTTTAAAAAAACTAAAAAAACACGCTTTTAAAGCACATCGAACTAAAAAGTTAAAAATAATTTTTAAAATAAGCTTAAAACAATAATGAACGAAAAATACTAGTATTATTGTAATAAAAGCGTCGGAGCTTTGTGCCATATTTTTCGTATATTGAGCGCCCGACGCTTTTATCACAATAATACTAGTATTTTTCGTTCATTATTGTTTTAAAAATTATTTTTAACTTTTTAGTTCGATGTACTTTAAAAGCGTGTTTTTTTAGTTTTTTAAACTATATTTATTTTTTACTTTTTAGTTTCATGTTATGATAGTAGTTACTATCAATATCATGGTTGTTACGGGTANATCATATTATAAAATTGAAAATAAGGGTTCTCATTTAAGAAAATTATAAATAAGGGTTTTTATTCCTGAAAGGACGAAAATAATAATGATTTGATTACATATTAATGTAGAAATTTTTGAACTTGATATTTTTTTCTCTTTAAAAAAAATTAAATTCTCAATAGTTTCTGAGAAAATAAGTGTCTTACCAGATTTCGATCATTCTGTATATGATTAAATATCTATTAAAGCAATTAAATAAAGTATGAAAGTGATGTTTAATAATTTAGCATTGTAATTTTTTATAGATTAATTATAAAAAATTATAAAGTAGTTGTTACTTTTATGGAAATTGTGTATAAAAATTGAAGGAATTTATACAAAACTTTTCAGAAGATAATTTGTTGTTAATAATAAATAAATGGTCTACAAGGATCATCAGAATCAAAAATGTACTTTTCTTGTAAATGTAATTTTTTTCATGTGCAAATACTTGCTTTCTAATTAGTAATAATCTCAAAACTGAGATTATAGAAAAAATCTCATTTCAAACTTGAAATCAAATTGAAAAATTTGGTTTAGTAAAGTATATGATCATTAAAAAATATTTCATTTTAGTAATATGATTTTACTGTGTAATTCAATATAAAAACAAATTTTATACTCCTATTAATTTGTAGATATTTAATTAAAAATGGTCTTTTTCAGTAGCATAATTTTGGGTTATTTGTCTAAATTGTTAGAATTAAAGGATTTTTTCCAACATTTGATGATCATAAGTTCAACATGATTAATTTCGTGTTCTTTTGAAGAATTGGTCATAAAAATTGGTCAAGTAAGAGCTGAAAAAAATGAATAACAGACACAAAAATCATATAGTGAAATATTTTAATATGAATAAGAAATTACTTCTTACAAGGGGAGACTACATCAATAGGGTTTTTGTTATTCATTGAATATTATTAATATCGATTTTTTTTCACTACATAGAAGAATTAAGAAAAAAAGTAATTTCGGTTGGTTAAGTTCGAACTTTGTACCCCAATCTTATAAGACTGTATAATATAAAATACAGCCATTATGATTAAAAATGTTGTATTTCTAAGTAAATTGTTAATGGTAATATTAAATAGAACTAGATCAGTATGAAGCAGCAAAAGTAACCCTTGCTGTTTTTATATACATTGCTATGTTCTATTTCGAAGCTAAAATGTTTGGTTGAGTTTTCAATTGGTTAATCACAAAATCCTATTTACTATTTAATTTTAAAAAAACACGGGGATATTGTCAAAATAAACTTTTTTATTAGTACTTACCATCTCTGAGAAGGGGAAACATAATTGAATCTGAAGCACTATCACCAAATCCATGAACTAAAACTTTAGTTTTTCTCTGTGGTCGAAAATACTTGAAAATCGGTAAGCAGTTTTTATCCATAGATTGTACTTCAGCTCTTATAGGATTATCCCTAAGGTTAAAAGTCTTTAAAAAACTCAAAAATAATTTACCCTATATAGTATACTCTTTAAAAATTATTACTTGTAAAGTAAATGTTTTTATTTTATATTATTGAGTTGTCTTCAATTATCTCGTACTTAGCATAAGAGTGCATGGAAAGGGGAATTGTTAGATTAGTATATATATATATATATATGTTTATAATAGGACGGTTCTTAATTAAAGACAAAGAGAATTTTTTTGATGAGTTTTTTGTCTCTCCCCCATGTCAAATTGATAAATTTTATTTAAAAATGAACCAAAAAAAAATTATTGGTCGATCAGACAATTTAACCCATGCTTACTTACTTGGGATTGAAATTTGGATAATAATATTAGTTCTTTAATTATTTACATACAATTATAATAATAAAAGAGCACTCATAAAGAAACAAAATCTAAATTGTAGGTGTAAATATTTTTTTTTAATTAAGTATCTAAAACTATTTTGATAAATCCACTAGTTTGTCTAAAAATTTATAAAAATCACACAAAATACAAAATTTTGTTGATTTTTTTAATTAGAAATATATACAGATTTTTACTATAATTGCCGAACACTTAGAATTACAAACAGATTTTCAAAATAAAAAAAGTTTATAAATAAGTTTTCTAAAAAAATCTAATAAGTAAAAAATTTAAATATTCAAATGTATTTATATATAGATATTAAATATAGATCTATGACTATAAGAAAACGTTTTTGCGATATTTTCTATAATTAGTTAGTGAAAAATCCCGTCAGTTTGTTATGACTTTATTGATAACATAACGAGTTGGGTTCTTATTATAAGCCTTTTTATTAATGTTTTTTTCTAGATTATATATGTTCAAAGATAATAGAAGCATAGATCTAATATTAAACTGAATTATGCAGACAAGTTATATTTATTCATAATAAAAAAAAAATTATTTTCTGAAAAAGTTTAATTTATCTGATTGTTACACCAAATATGAAATTCGTATATTTCTTGCTCTTGCAGTGCGACATAAAAAATATATTTGCCGTGCTAAATATACTTTAATTAAGTACCTGGTATATAAATAAAATTTTATATTTTCAATTAATGGTTCCTGTTCAGAATTTCGCTCAAGACCTGATAATATAGCCAGCTGTGGATCTCCTCGACCGTTTGGTAGAAGCATCCATTTTATATTTTCATTACTAATCAATCCATCTTCACTCGTTTCTTCAGTTACCGAATATTTTTTCAAGTTTTTCTATAAAGAATAATTATTAAAGCTTAACAGTAAATATTTTATTTTTATTATATCTACCTGTTCAATACTTGGAAGAAATACTAGGAGTATAAAAAAATACATTGTGTTATTTAAGATTATTCTAAAATAATTTGTTTTATAAAATAAATTTATCTATATATAAAGGAAAACATGACAATGTTAAAAAACTGGTATAGTATTGTATGCAAATTTTTGAAACGATATAATGGTAACCCCCTTTAATATAAATAAGATACTTGATAAAAATAACTTCAAGCTTACAGAACTGATATGGATAACGTAAGAAATAGAATAAATCCTTTTGAGAAATTAATAATTCTTTCTTTTAAAAATAAATACATTAGTTTGTTACCATGAGCCTAAGTTAATAAAAGACAAAATATTTCATGTATCTCTCTAGTGGCAATGGTAGACTAGGACGATTATTAGGCGTCAAACGTGATTTATTTTCATTAAGAACTCCAAAATGCTTTCCCATCCTTTTTAATTCCCGTTATATTTTAGTGAGTAATATCCAATGAGATCTAAATGAATAGTCCAAGAACGATTGATCTTTTACCAGTTATACAATGAAACCAAGATGTATTTAAATCATAGACATAAAAATGAATAGATTTGGAACAATAGACCTTTTATATACAGAGTGGCCCACCACTCACTGACAACTTAAATAACTTTTGATCCAGTTAATATTTTTAGTTGATTTTTTTTTTAAATAATAGTTATACGTTAGGTCTATAGGTATATCTCAATAATTAATTTTTTTACATTTTATTAAAAATATTATTTATTTTTAAATTTTATATAAAATGTAAAAAAAAATCTAAGATAGCTATTTTGTAGAGTAGAATTTAAGAAAAATTTTAGTAAAAAAATATCTTATTAATATTCAGTAGTAAATATTCTGTAGCGTTTTGAAGTTTGTGAAAATTTGAATTTTCATGTATTATTTNAAAGTTTGTGAAAATTTTAATTTTCATGTATTATTTTACGGTATTAAACATTGAAATACGTATTGAGAAAAGGACAGAAGAAAACGCTATCTTTTCATGATTACTGTGTATACATATGATGATAATGTGTATACATTACAAACTTGGCATTAATACCATGATAAGAAATTAGATAAGGCAATTATTACTTATCACTCTCATTCAAAAGTATAAGTCATTTTGATGGAAAAATTTACACATCTCCAAATTATAGTAATCATGAAAAGATAGCGTTTTCTTCGGTTGGACTGCTGGTCCTTTAGTCGATCTTAACAATTAGTGTGCGTGCTGACTAGTTTTTGGGTTTAACCATCTTTTAGTAGATATAGTGAAAAGGTAGTTGTGCTGGGGGCTGATGAGGAGCCACCCTTCAGTCTGCTATTTTTGAGCTTGACCGTGTTGACGGGTCTAAAATCTACACCTTTAGTGGTTCACTAATTGGAGGGATTGGAGCTGACCAGTGTATCCAACGGAAAGACTCAAAAAGAGCCAAAAGCGACGAACTAGTCGTTAAAAGTATTAATTAATTTGTGTACTTTTTTGTGTCTACGTCGCGGTATTACCGACGAACGACAATTATTTCTATTGGTTTTACAGAAGATATTTAATAAATAAACAAATATTTATTATATATATTACCAGGCTAATATTACGGGGATCCACGGGGGTCCCATAACAAATTTTAATATGATTAGTGACATGCAGTTTTTGTTTTTATTTTTTGCTTATCATTTTATTGTTGTAGCAGTATTTTCCATAGAGAAATCCATCTCAAGGTATTGTTTTGGGCCAATCCACGCATATATTTTTTTTCGACTCAATTTATGAATATGTCCCCAGCAAATCGGTAAAGAGAAGTTGTTGTATAACATATTAAAATGCTCAACATTAATAGATACTAAAAAAAACCCAGCAAAATAGGGTCGAGGCACAGTGTGGACGAGGCATAGATGGGATAAGTATAGATGATATCTGACAGTGATTAAAATCACTATCATAAGAAACGCTTCGATGCAAATCTGTAGATAGTGTTTCCTTTAGAGAAATTGGTAGATTATTCCAAAAGCAACATCAACTCTTATTTCTTTAATTATATCCTGATTAGTAGTTCTTTGATTTTAAAATATAATATATGAATAAATACTAATTATAGTTTTTAAATTTAGTATGAAATTGTGAGGCCAGCTATGATGTATGGTTAATAGTGTTGGGCGGTTGATAAGAAAGTAGAGCAGAGAATAAGTGTAGCAGAGATGAGAATGCTTAGTTGGATGAGTGGAGTGACTAGAGAAGATAGGATAAGGAACGAGCATATAAGAGGAAGTATAGGTGTTGCGTCAATCGTGGATAAGATGACAGAAAATAGACTTAGATTGTTTAGTCATGGTATGAGGAAAGAAGAATCGAAAGCTGTAAGAACAGTTATAGAAATGAATGTTGAAGGAAGAAGAGATAGAGGAAGACCAAAAAAGAGATGGAGGGATGCTATTGAATGCGATTTGAGGACAGCTGATGTGAGCGTAGAAGATGTGGGAGATCGTGTCAAGTGGAATCTTAGGATAAGGGTGCCCGACCCCAAGTAGTTGGGATTAAGGCAAAGAAAAAGAAAAATATTACCAGATATTCCGGTGGCAATTGACATAATATGATTGTTATTTCGGAATGTACAATTTAGCGTTTAGTTGGGTTTAAATAATATAGCGTCAAATCAATTACCTACTCTATCGGTTGTATCTCAATATACACTACACTTTAATGATACAATAAATAAATAAACTCACACATACACACATATGCATTTATAACATTGTGTCTAATGTAAGTATAACATGATAAAAAGTAACCGTAAAATGAAAAAAATGGAATATAAATTTTATTACTCATATTAAATGTAATGTAACTCGAAAAATATTTGTTTAAATGAAAAAATATAAGATTATATTTTTATTTATAATTGTCTTTTAAACAACTTTTGTGCGAAACTTTTTTTTGTAAGTTAAATATTTTTTTTTGAGAAAATTAAGAAAGCTCATATTTTTGAACTTTTGCGAGGATTTAAAAAAAAAGCTCAATTCCAATCTTGAGGACTATTAGTATGTCATTATACATATTTTAATTCAACTTTTAAAAAAACAAAATTTTTTCCGCAATTTTTCCTTTGTTGACTGGCCTAGATGTCAATTTTAAACTTGTAATTGAGCTAAAAGTTATGGTAATATATTCAATTTATTTTACTATAAACTTTCATAAATCTTTATCAAAAATTTTTCATCAACTTTAAAGAACCAAAAAAATAGGTTAAAATTGAAAATTTGGACTGATTATTTTTAACATATTAAAAATCAAATCAGTAATAATTTGAAAACAAATTTTTTTTTCTTTTAATTATTATTTTATATATATAATTAGTAATAATATAAAAAATTAGAAGTGATAGAAATAGTCTACTTGCAGATTTGAAAACAACGCGAAAAGTTGATTTAGAAAAGTATATTTTTGCTTCTGATGAAAGTTCCTTGTAGTCCAGTGCATTTTTTTATAGTAACAAACAGTTTTTATTGAAAATTATTGTATCAAGCCCTTTAAATTTTTATACACGTAAAAGTAAAGCAAAATATAACTTCTTTATTATTTTTATAATTTCTCCGTTTAAATTACAATATTAAATATCAATTTCATACTAAATTTAATAATTATAATTAGTATATATTCAAATATTATATTTTAAAATCAAAGAACTACTAATCATGATATAATTAAAGAAATAAGAGTTGATGTTGCTTTTGGAATAATCCACCAATTGCCTAATTAAAACAAAAAAAAAAAAAGTTTGTTGGGAATTTTTTCTGCTATTCTGCAAAATTACTCCTTCGTTGACTAGAATGAATCATTAAATAGAAAATTTTATGAGAATTAAAACAATGTTATTTTTAAGATTAATATGCAGTCAGAAAGTTTTATAATTATTATTTATTGTAAATTTATCAGAAAAACTCATTATTTTTTGCATTTTTATCGTAATAGAACACTTAAATAGAAATCATAGTAATCATTTCTAAGTAATTTTTGATATTTAAAAAGATTCTACTATTGAAATATCCAGAACTGAATTAATTTTAATGATTTACTTTAACTAAAAAAAAAAAAGTTAATATTTTGAATCCCTCTTGTGGGCAGGTAAAGGGTTAGATTTATAAAAAAAACCAAATGATAGATAAAGACATGCATCTAAATAAAAAAAAATATACTGATTTGGTCATTTTTGATAAAGTTATAACAATTAACAAAGTTATAAGTTTTATACACTGGACTACAAGGAACTTCCATCAGAAACAAAAATATACTATTCTAAATCAACTTTTCGCGATGTTTTAAAATGTGCAATTAGACTTTTTCTATAACTTCTAAGTTTTAATATTATTAAAAAATAGTTTTTACATATAAAAAAAAATAATTAAGAACAAAAAAAATTGTTTTAAATTAATACTGATTTGATATAATATTTAATATTAATTTGATTATTAATAAGTTAAAAATAAGGAAAATGACATATTTAACCAATTTTGTTAATCGTTTAAAGTTGATTGTTGTAAATGTTTATAAAAAAAAAAAAAAATTTATTTTACCATAACTTTTAGCTCAATTGGTAAGTTTGACATTGACATAATTAAATAGAAAATTTTATGACAATTAAAAAAATTGTATCGTTAAGATCAATATGCAGTCAGAAAGTTTTATAATTACTATTTATTGTAAATTTATCAGAAAAGCTCAATATTTTTTTGCATTTTTATGGTAATAGATAACTTAAATAGAAGTAATAGTAATAATTTCCTAGGAACTTTTGTTGTTTGTTGAAAAGATTCTATAATTGAAATATTGAGAACTTAATTAATTTTAATGATTTACTTTAACTAAATGTACCAATCAAAACAAAGTTGTTAAAAAGATTTACTCAATTGAGTTTATTATAAAATTTGATTATATTTGTAAAAATCAATTGTTAATTCAGGAGAAAAAACAATCATTTTTTTTAGAAATGATTTATATAGCAACACGTTAGAAAAAAATTTGAATATTATAGTCTAATAGTAGCACACACAAACAGAGTAATAAAATTATTAAATTACAAAGTAAAATGATTTAATTTTGTAGTTGAAACCTATCATATCAAACTTCATTCGTTAATAAATATTTTGAAAACATTAGAAATTAATGATTTTAATTGTCTTTATGGAGACGATGTAATAACTAACTGTTTAATTGATAAATTAGAATTTTTTTTTCAATTTTTGAGAGTAATATCTTCAACTAGATACGAATTGTAGTAATTTGACGTATTGTTGAAAAAAGTAGGTCGAGTTAGAGCAGAAAAAAAAAGTGATATTCACAAAAAAACATCTTCTCGGCTTTGCATCGAAGTTAAAACTTAAAATATAGTAAAATAATTTTAATACGAATAAGAAATTTCTTCTTGCAAGGGGCGACTAAAGTGATGGGATCCTTGATCTTTATTGAAGTTATTGAATCTAAATGTGATAAAAATCAAACGAGTTAAAATTTATACTAACTTAAAAAGAATTAAGAAAAAATGCAAAAAATTCATTGCCATACGCGGGTTGGAACCTCGTACCCCAAGCGTGTAAAACACAAGGTTTATCAACTCGACAATCGTACTTTGCTACCGATCTTTGAAAAAATTGGGTATTTAAGCTAGTTCAAATTTCAAAGATATTTTTCTCGACTTAAAAGAAGCAAACAAATTTAAATAAGTTTAACTTTCTATGCTATATCAATTTTTTATTTATATAATATTTATGAAAATCTGTACTCCACTTTTCAAGTATTTTAAAATAAAATAAAATACAAAACCCAGAATTTTAACACAAAAATAGCATATTTTTGCATACGGTAGTCATTTTTACCATGAAGACAAATCCAGAGGTCAAATTTTTTTTTTTCACATTAAAGTATATTACATAAGCTTTAATTTAAGATATATTTAAAAGTGTCAGTATTTCCGGAATACTTTCAAAAATTAAATTGAAAATATCGTAGTAACAATACGCATGTTTAAAGTTTTGACCCCCCTTGTTAAAGGGGTATGATCCGATTTACAAAAAAAGCGTGCCAGATGAAAGGGGTATATAAATATTTATTATAAAAAAATAATAATATTGATCCATACATTTTTCCAAAAGTTATATAAAATATAAATTAAATAATATAACATATAAAATCGAGATTTTTTTCACGGAAATCGTACGTTTTTCTTTAACTTTGATGTCCGTTTTCACCACGAAGACACCCAGAAGTCAAATTTTTTTTTTTCAAATTAAAGTATATTACATAAGCTTTAATTTAATATATATATATAAAAGTGTCAGTCTTTCCGGAACATTCAAAAATTAAATTGAAAATATCGTAGTAACAATACGCATGTTTAAAGTTTTGACCCCCCTTGTTAAAGGGGTATGATCCGATTTACAAAAAAAGCGTGCCAGATGAAAGGGGTATATAAATATTTATTATAAAAAAATAATAATATTGATCCATACATTTTTCCAAAAGTTATATAAAATATAAATTAAATAATATAACATATAAAATCGAGATTTTTTTCACGGAAATCGTACGTTTTTCTTTAACTTTGATGTCCGTTTTCACCACGAAGACAAGTCCAGAGGTCAAATTTTTTTTTTTCAAATTAAAGTATATTACATAAGCTTTAATTTAAGATATATATAAAAGTGTCAGTCTTTCCGGAACATTTTCAAAAGTTAAGTTGAAAAAGTTCTACTTTCTATACGCATTTTAAAAGGTTTGCACCCCCCCTGTATAAAGGGAAATGGTCCGATTTTAAAAAAAAGTATGTCGAATGAAAGAAGTATATATAAAGTATTTATCATTAAAGAATAAAGTTGATTCATGCATTTTTTAAAAAGTTATAGCAACATAATGTTAAAAAATGTAAAATATAATATCAAGAATTTTTTCACAAAAATAGCATATTTTTGCATACGGTAGTCATTTTCACCATGAAGACAAGTCCAGAGGTCAAATTTTTTTTTTTCAAATTAAAGTATATTACATTAGCTTTAATTTAAGATATATATAAAAGTGTCAGTCTTTCCGGAACATATTCAAATGTTAAGTTGAAAAAGTTCTACTTTCTATACGCATTTTAAAAGGTTTGCACCCCCCCTGTATAAAGGGAAAAGGTCCGATTTTAAAAAAAAGTATGTCGAATGAAAGAAGTATATATAAAGTATTTATCATTAAAGAATAAAGTTGANCGAATGAAAGAGGTATATATAAAGTATTTATTATTAAAAAATAGCATTCATTCATGCATTTTTTAAAAAGTTATAGCATCCTAATGTTAAAAAATGTAAAATATAATATCAAGAATTTTTTCTCTGCTTCGCATCGAAGCTAAAATATACCAAATAAAAGGTAATGATATCATGCATCTATATAAAAAAAAATTATATTGTTTTGGTTATTTTTAAAAAAAGTTATGGCAATTTTAAGTAACAAAAATTTCGAAAATTAGCAATTTTTAAATTTGTAATTTTTTTGAAGGTTTCCCCCATTTACGAGGAACGAGGGGAATATTTTCAATTTTGGAGGGTTATGTCTTTGACGAGATATGATTTATGATCTTTTGACGTATCATTGAAAGAAATCTTTTTAGTGAGAGCTGAGAAAAAGTGTTTTTCAGACACAAAAAAAAAACGCATCATAGTAATATTAATAACTTCTAAGCTTCGCATCGAATATTAAATAAACAATATTAATAAAAGAAAAACTATATTATTTAATTCAAATAATAATCAATTGCATTTTAATAATAACTGGTTCTTATCTTAATTTTTACTAGCAGACGTTAGCTGTATATCAATAATCGCGGCTATTACCTAAATATCGGACTATTTAAAATATATTTTGTGTAAATATCAAGAAGCTGGACAGATATTATTAAATATTTTATATTTTTCGAAAGATTATATAGCGCTATCTCTCCAGGTATTAAATAACAAAACATCGGTTGTCAATTGCCTGATTGCCGTGTATATATCTATGTATATTTAATCTATGTTGTAATCATTATGAGTCTACTCCCACAGATAACTTTCTATGGACTTTAAAGTAAAAGTTGAGATTATCAATTACCGTAGATAAAAACATCTTAGTGTTGTTAGAAAAATTAAAGTTTCTACTTAATTAGAAATATTTATGAATTTTTAAATGTTATTTTGACGTTAAAAAAAATTTAATTTAATTTATGCTTGTCATATATATATTATTAAAAATACAATTAACAGGTATAATTTTTTATATAAGATAAAATTACATTTATTAAATAAATTGACTTGAATTAGTGATTGAATAAATTTTTGTCATACAAACAATGGTAAAATTTTTTGAGAATAAAAATGTATTTCCTTTTAAATGGGATCAAGTAGTTCATGGATTTTGGCAACGCTATCCAAATCCAGAAAGGTAAAAATTTATAGATTATAGATAAACATTATTTATGATAATAAAATTTCAGCAAACATGTGCTATCAGAAGACGTGTTACAAAGAGAAATCAGAGAGAAATGTTTACATTCTATTAGGATGTTCACAAAAACTAATAAATTGCCTAAATGGGGAGAATGTTTCATTCATAACAATGTAGTTAGAATTGTTGAAGAATCAATTGTTGATCCCACAAAAAAAATTTTAACTACATACACAAGAAATATTGGTTATACAAATGTTATGGTAAAATAATATTAAATCTTAGAAAATATTTAACTTTCTAAAATATTAAGTTTACTATCATTTCATCATGTGTGAATTTAATTGAAGAACTCGGTGCAACAACAAAGTTAGTTTATTTTTTTAAATATTTCAGTTATTTTACTAAAATAATTTTCATAAATAAAATGTTTTATTCTAGATTTAATATTTAGTAAATTATCTAACTATAAAAGTTTTTTTGTATTAAAGTATTTTGAAAAATCATGTCTATTCAAAACTAACAAAATATTGAACTTACCTGGTTATTGCGCTGATCCCTTTAATTATTCAATGTTATTTTCAATCGAATACATACAACCCAGCTTCTTGACTTTAGTTCAAAACATAGACATAAAAAATGTAATTTACTCTGTTTTGATAGAAGGAATTTTTCTTTTTCTTTTTCAAAAATGCAAACATGGAAAGTTTTTAACTTAAGTATATAATTATTTTTTTAAATAATCTATGTATAAAAAAACATTTATATTTTGAAAAACCTGAAGTATTAAACTAAGTATAAAGCAATTAAAAAATAGTCACTTGAGTTGTTAATATTAGTTATTCTTGTGATTTTTTTAAATAAAGCTTCAACTATGGAGATTTTAGCTTACATTTTGACAAAAGTAATATGATATATTATTATTTAGGATTTAAAATATGTATGTTCTATTTGTAACATATTTAGAGGTGCGTATTGGTTTCATTTTCTCTACCAGGAAACTAAATATCATTAAGATCTACATTAGAGTAACACTTAGTAACTTAATTTTGCTTATCAGACCTTTATCCCCTGTTAAGTGTAAAATTAATAATATCTCCTAAAATATTGAATCAATAGTTATTATAAGAAGATCATTTTCTTAACCTAATCATATTCCAGCTAATATTAATTGAATTTATATCTTTTCATTTTAAAAACTCAAGTTGATATAATTTTAAGGGATAAATATTTGCATTGGATCTTATAATTATTCAGAGTGATTGTTTAATCAATGACTATTTGATTCACATGAAAAAATAATACTCTTCTTCTTCCTCGCCTTGAGGTCGGCCACCCTTATCCTAAACTTCCACTTGAATAGTTTAATATTTATAATGAATATCTATCTTAGAGTTGTTATCCACCAACATTTTTTGTAAAATGGCTACTTTGATATTTACAAATTTTTTAATCTCTTCCTCGCCTTAATCCTAACTACTTGGGGCCAGTCAGCCTTATCCTAAACTTTCACTTGACACAATCACCCACATCATCTACTCTCATATCGTATTCAATAAACGATTGATGTTACACCTATACTCCCTCTTATATGTTCGTTCTTTATCCTATCTTCTCTAGTCACTCCACTCATCCATCTAAGCATTCTCATCTCTGCTCTACTTTCTTGTCAATTGCCCAATACTCTGAACCATACAATATAGCTGGTCTCACTACAGTCTTATAGAATTTAAATTTCAGCCTCATAGGAAATTTTTTACCACATAAGACACCAGATGCTTCTCTCCACTTAAACCACTCATACTTTATCCTGTGTCTTACATCCTCGTCAATAACCCACTCTTTTGCACAACTGTCCTAAATACTTAAAACTTTACACCTCTCCTATTACGTCCTCGCCTATTGGCACTGAACTCCTCATTTCATCTACCTCGTGTTCTTCTTTATCAAACTCGTACTCTATATACTCTGTCTTACTCCTACTTATTCTTAAACCCTTTTCTTCGAGAGCTGATCTCCACACCTCTAGCCTTTGATTAATTTCCTCCTTATTTTCTCCTATCAGCAAACAACATGCACCACGGCACCTCTCCTTGTATTTCTCTAGTAATTTCATCCATTACTATAGAGAATAAGTAAGGGCTTAAAGCAGAACCCTGATGCACTCCTACTCTTAACTGAAAACCTTCTGTTACTCCTCCTACACTTTTTACCCTAGTACAAATGCCATCATACATATCTTCTATTATATAAATGTAACTTTTCGGGACTCCTTTTCTCAATAATGCCCACTTTAGAACCTCTCTCGGTACTCTATCATACGTTTTCTCCAAATTTATAAATATCATACACAGCTTTTTCTTCTTTTCCCTAAACTTTTCTATTAATTGTCTCACACAGAATACTGGATCCATTGTTGACTTACAATACATAAATCCAAACTGGTGTGTAGCTATCGATGTATCATTTCTTATTCTCTTATCTATTACCTTTTCCCAAATTTTCATACTATGACATATAAGAATTATGCTTCTATAATTTCCATACTACTGTATGTCTCCTTTATCTTTAAATACGAACACCACAATACTATTCCTCCATTCATTTGGGATTTTTTCTTCTAATATGATTTTATTTAAAAGATCCTTCAGCCATCCAATATTTTCCATATTTTTACTGGTACTTCATCTGGTCCAACTGCTATATTGTTTTTCATTGATGCCATAGCCTCCCATACCTCTCTCTCACTAATAAAATCTACCAGTCTCTCATTCCACGAGATATCCTCTAATGTCTCTTTTGGGTACTCCTCATTCAGTAATTTTTCAAAATACTTTTTCCACCTTTTTGATGAAATAATAATACTAAAAAAGAAAAAAAATGTTGGGAATTTTTAATTACATAAATATTAGATTTATAAGCTATTAATTATTCTTCAAATATATCCCTTATACTTCATCACGGTATTATTCGATATTTTTTTTCCATGTTTCATTTTAAAAAAAATTATAGACAATAACAATTTTGAAACTAATAATTTGCATTTATAATGTCAATTTTAAAAATGTCCAAAAATAAACCCATTACAAAAATAATCACTTTTATTTTATCTAATATAAATAATGTTCATTATTTGTTTTGATTAATATAAATAATGGAAAATATAATTTTTACAATTTATTATAAAAAAAAAATTGCCTTTTTCAATGTTTTTTTTAAATATTTGTCAGAAATAAATTTTATTCAAATATAAATATTAATTTATACAAAAAAACATAGTTACTTTAACATTAAATTAAGTATTTTTAAATTTTCTAAAATGGAAAGATGTTTGTTTGATTCTAAAAAAATTGTATTCAAATTAAATATTTATACCATTACCATCCAACCACCACTAGACAAAATATACTGGTGATATATTAACTTTAGAATGTGCAGTTTAAGATGTATTAAAAATGTAATGATTTAGCCATTATGAAGAGTGGAGAAAATAATATATCTACCAAAGATGCCATAAAAAAGACTATTCACTATTTAAAAGTATGGGTTTCTAATCCTAACGGTATGTCTATTAATTTATTCAAAAAGTTTGTCAACAATATTACTTATGTAGAAATATTAGTAATATGACCTGGTAGAAACTATTTGATAGAATTTTGAATTTAACTGATTATGTTGAACATACATATATGCGTGGAAAATCAGTCAGGTAAAAAATCACTATCTTTGTACATATTATTGTATATTACCTTTATAATTTCCAAATTTATGGAATGTTCATTAATCTACAAACGTTGCACCACTTACATAGCAGAAAGACTTCATTAAATATTTCAATAATAATACTGATAATTACTCATCATACAATTGTGTAAAAAATAATAAACTGGAGGTATGGTACAGATTATTATTATTTTTATCATTTGACGTTTTTAAGTTATGATCCTCCTACCACTATAACAAAAAATATCCATATTTTTTATATTAATGGTTCTAAGTTGAATAGTTTCCAGCTTCTCATTTTCGATTATTGTATTCAAAGTTAGTTCTTACTTACTGCATATTAATATTTTAGTTTTGCTCTTGTTTATTTTCATTTTGTATTTTTTATAGCTATTTTTAGCTATAAAAAGTTCATTTTTATTAGGATGTTGGCTAAATCTTCTTAATTTTCCACTATCATCGCCATGTTGTCTCCAAAACAACATTTAGACTAGCATACCATTAACTTTTTTACTCCAATACCTTCTTTCCTTAATTTTTTTAGTGCATTTTCAATATACAGATTGAATAAAGTAATTGATAAGTTACACCCTAGTCTAACTACTTTTTCAATGTTTGCTTCTTCAAATAATTTACATTTTATAATTTAATTTTTCTATTATCACTGCCTTTTTATTTAAATATAGCATTTCAATAATTCTTCTGTCTTTAGTGTCAATATTCATGTTACTAAATAATTTTTTCAAATTTACGTCAGCTTTTTCAAGGTTGATAAATGTTATATTGATTTATATACTCGGTACATCTTTTTTTTTAAGTAAATTTATGTTTCTATTATCTATATAAAACACAAATGTAACACTTTTACAAGAGTAGTTTTAGCTTTCCATAGTCTGAGACAAACTTTTTTACAATTTTTTTATTTTAAACCTAATGATAAAATTATCTAACTAAATAGCTAAATTTTCACAAATGATATTAAAGAAAAAAAAAATGTATTGTACAGTTGAACTAAAAACTAATAATTCTGTTAAGTAAAAAACTTGAAAAAAAACATGAACAATTTAACTTTATATAATGAAAATTGATCTCCTGTAGCTTATCTTATTATATAATAGAACAAGGAAAAAAACGCTTTTCTGGGAAAATTACTTAGCGTGCTCGGAATTTCAAAATTTTTTTTTTCAACGAAAGTACTCGGTCACCAGACTCCGGGAAAATTATTGGCGAAGGTCGGAAAATTTTTGCCGCTCGCCCGTGAGCGTTTTAAAATTTCGACCGTTTTCGAGAAAAACGCTCACTGACGCCAGCGTTTTACGACTTGAGGTTTGAAATTTTCATCAGACCCGCCCAATGACATTCCTGAGATGTGATAAAAAAATCAATTCAATCCGTTCATTTTTCA